TAAAATTGGACTCAAATGTGGGTCAATTAAGCTTGTATTTGGTTTAAAATGATCAAAGGCATGATGAATTTGAGTTTGTAATTGAAATTGGAGAGGATTGGGGTCAAATTTATGGACATTTGAGATGAATTTGGGGAAATTAGGCCCTTAAGGGTGATTTGGGGCTTTTGGTCAAAATAGGTCAAATTATTTAAATTGGGCTCAATGGAAGCTTCCAAATTTGTTATGGAGACATTTGAAATGATTTTGGAGGTTTTGGGAGAGTTTGGGCCACCAAGGGAATTTTGGTAATTTTAGATAAATTTGGGGGTATTGAGGTAATTTTGGCAATTTTGGATAATTTTGGGTAATTTCAGTATTTTTAAATGGTTTGAAATGATTTTTGAACAAATTTGAGTATTTTGGGTGAAATTGAGATTTTTGGCCAAATTTAGGGTTTGGGGGTGTTCAGGTAATTTGGGTAGATTTGGGGGGGGGGGCAAAAGGCCAAGTTGGATATTATAGTAAAATTGTGGTTCCAACCACTTTATATGAGCCATGGACCAATGGAACCCCCATTTGGGTCTTCTATGTGCTGGTCCTAGCTAAATCCCAGCCTAGGGCTAGTGGGTCTAGGGGACCATCTACATGAGTCTCTCAAAGGATCAAGGGATCAAAGTCAACAAAGTTTAGGTTTAGGCTTATGAATGAAAGTAAGTGAAAGTGAGTGCAAGTGAATGAATCAGCTCCAGACCAATACCCAGGGTCAGCCTTAAGGCCAAGCAGTCCTATGGGGACTCACCTTGAGCGCTCCCATATTGACCCCACCTACTAAGTACTAGAGGTTAGGACCAATATGTGGAACTTCAAGTTGAGAAAAGAATGGTTTAGATTTTTTAATGGTGAGGGTTCCTTTTCTAGTCCTCTAGAAATAGTTTATAAAAAATTCCTACGGCTAGACCCCAGGCTACTAAAGAGGAAAACTAAACTTTAACCAAAAGTGATGTCAACAAGGCTTTAACGAATTAAATAAAACATAATATATTTTAAAGGATTTGCTAAGAATTAAAAACAAAAACAAGACTTCAAAGTACTAAAAATGCAGAAAAAGTAAAAAACTACAGTTACTATTACAATTTAGGTCCACAACACAACATTAAAATGAAGTTGTTACTACAATAGTTTCAAATAAAACAAACTACAAACAATCAAAATAACAAACTAACAAACAAACAAGCTAAATAACAAACTAAACTCTTAAAAATATCAATCTTCATCATCTTCCTCATCATCATCATCATGATCTGGAGTATAAGGAGTGAAGCTGCAACAAGTTGGAAATTCCATATTATACTCACCCCTAAGATATCTAGCCATAGCCTCCTCATAAGTTATGTCATGTTGAACTCTCCTCTGCTTATATTCATCATTATAAGCATTTCTTACTTTAATTCCTCCACTCCTTTTCTTCATACTCACAATATCCATTTTCTAAACTATAATCTGCTCCATAAGATTTTCAAGTGAAGTAGAACAAGAAGTAAATGCCTCTGTAACTGATGTTGAGGGTTTATCACTACCTCCACTCCTGGACATAACAAATGATTCAAATCTTTGAATTGTATGCTTCCTAATAGGATTTTATGGCTACATCTTTTTGGCTGTAATCTTTTTTCATTTCTATGGGACTCTACTTCTGATTGTTCACAGAAAGTGAAAATCAGGGCAGGATAACCCAAACCACTAGTTGTGGCACTACTAGATATAGTCCGAGCATGATGAACTATAAGAGCACTAACATCTACTGCCTTCATTTTATGAATGCAGAAGTTTAACAAAGCTCTACGCTTCGTTACTTTGCTCAGATGATTTGTTGGCAGTAATTTAGCAGAGATGAATTAGTGTCATACCTTTGACTGGAAAGTCATCGTGGAAGTGGAGAAGTTAACTTTATTATTATTTTCAATTTTCTATTCTTCCTTTCCATCAGTAAAAAAGGCAATTACTTCATCCAGTGATGAATTAGTCATCATGAATGCAACTTATTCACAATGAAATAAATTTCCCAGTCCATAAAAAGCATTGATTCTTCCTCTTGTAAACTTGACTTGCTTACCTCTCACAAGGATGTGATCAATAGTGGTGAACCGCAAGTTGGCATAAAACTCCTGGATCATAGTCACAATAGCTACTGCAGTGAAGTAGAAAAACCTCTCCCAATTTCGGGGGAAGATCAACCTCCCAATCTCGCCCGGGTTAGTAAATGTCGGCTCCTGGATCAACTTCCTTCATTCTATTTGAGTACTGTAATAGTGTTGGGCTTTGAAATTGATGAATCTTCTCGTGTCAAAATCTTTCGTAGGCTTTCTTCTTTTTACTCGTGGAGCCATTGGAATTTCTATGAAAATCCAAGTAAAATCCAAATAAATTATAAAATAAAAATTCTAGTTTCACAAGTAAGATTATTTGGTAAGAAACTTTTTACCATGGTTTTTCTTCAAGTTTCTTCATCAAAAATTCCAAATTTTGGATCTCCTATAATATAGAAAAAATCCATGGTGAAAATAAAAAATTTCTAGGTTAAAGTGAAGCTCTTACCAAGAGAAGATGAAATTTAAGATCTTTGGCCTTCAAAATATTCCCAAATGCTCACAATGTGAAGCCCTAGGTCACAATTTAGACGTAGGAGACAACCCAAATAGTAAAAATGGTGTTTTACTGGGTGATTTCACAGCTTTTTAGGCAATTTGGGATTTTTCAGGAATTTGGCGCTTCAGACGCCAATCTGGCACCTCAGGCGCCAACGCCTTAATTTTTCTAGATTTTATTTTCTGAGGAAATTTGTTGTGTACCACTTTACGTCAACCTCTAATTAACTCAAATAAACACTTATACTCATAATTAAATAATTTTCTAACACATAACTTTCACAAACAACATAAAACTCACTTATATATATATAATCCGCACTAGTACAAACTAAAAATTTTCAAGTCAACAAAATCTAATTCAATGTATAAAGTAAACCAAATATCCTAACACTGAAATTTAAACATCAAAATACTCAACAACAAACATAAATATAAATAGAGTTCAACAATGAAAATAAATTCAATCCAACATAACATAAGCACATAAGCAAACAGTACTAAATAAGAGTTCTGTGCATAAAGTAAGATCAAACATCTTCTTTGCTCTCGTCCTCCTGGATATCTCCCATGGATTGATAGTGCATGTACAAGTTTTAGAAAGGTCGATAATTAAATTCATCATTTGAATCCTCCTCAATTCAAGCATGTTTCTTGAACATAAGTACCAAACCATCTTCAATACGTCCAGTATGTTCAAAATGTTCCTTTCGTCTCCAATCTAGATGATCCAACATTTCAGAAATATTCTCAATTGCATGCATAAGGTTTTGTACCTCTTTCTCTATCTTTTTTATCCTCTTCAAAAGTGCGTTCAAACTGAAGTAAGGCTGAATAGTTGATGAATTCTGGGATGCTTGATCCATCAGTACATTCATATCATTCTCATCTCCCATTTCAATGTAGTTACAATAAACTTCTGGGTCCATAAGCTTCCAAGGAAGAAGAAATTTTTTCCAACTTTCATAAGGTACTTGTGATTGACTGCACAGTAAGAAAATAGTGGATGGATGTCCTAGTCCAGTAGTAGTTCTTTTTACGATGAAAACCAAAACCAATTTTACAATTATTAGACTAATATCAATAGGTTTTCCAGTTTGAATACAATAATTCAGAATAGCACTCTCCTTAGTCACTTTGCTAATTTTAATAGTGGGGAGTAATTTCGATGTAATAAAGAAATGCCACGCCTTAGATGCCAGATTCAATAATGATGAAAAAAAACTTACATTTCTATCATCTCTGGCCTCCCAATTTGCATCTTCATCCGTAAGGTATCGATAGAATTCATTCATATTATCTCTTGTAGGGGTAAAATTTGTATAAAGGCAAATAGGAACACTTTCAATCATAAACATATTGTTTATACTTGAAGGAGTAAATTGTACAAACCTGCCTCACACGTAGACAATTCCTTGGTTGATTCCATGAAGATTTGCATAAAACTCTTTCACCACAAGGAAAACTATGGCCGCAGTAGTGTAGCAAAACACTTCCGAGTGTCTTTACACAACAAGGCTTTATGCTCCAATTCTATGGGTAAGTGACAAGTCTTCCCAAAAAT